TTGAACCATTATAACTGAAAGTTTATGTACTTTGTGGTGAGTCTTATTGGTTGGTAGAGCCCAGGTGCAAATAAAATCTTCTCCGTCAGGAGCTGTTATTTTCTGTTATTTTATACTACAACAGAGAAGGGTCCATATGCAGCTGGTTTTTGTCTCTCATGTCTCCTTCTTTTCTCCTTTTTGTTCAATTTCAACCACTAAGTAAGCATTAGGAAAAAGTGAAACTAATGATTATGAAAATAAAAAGAATTTTAAACAGCAAAGGAAAACTTCTGTTACATAGCAGCTTCTTCACACACCTGGCCAAACTCTTAAAATCATAGAAAGCAGATGTTAAATCATAAAAAAATACAGCTTTTACTCTTCCTTCTTTACGTTACAATTACCATTTAAACTTTAGTTCAACAACTTGCAATGTCAGTCCTCCAATCCTTGATACAGTGACCCCTAATAAACCTTTCTGCTGATCAGTGGAGGAACTGAGAGTATATGTAGTATGTAGTAGCTTAACTCTCTATGAATTTTGTGAATCAAAATCCACAATATCTCCCTACCCACTCAAAACAACTTTTCATTTAGTGACATTTTCAGTCTGACAATCAGAATTCTGGTGGTTGATCTCCTTATCCCTGGGTACCAGATCAGTGAGGCTGTCACTGCTTCGAAATTTCGTATTTCTCCATCCTTCTCTCCGGGATGATTTAAGTTGTGCTTTGGAGTGCTGGGGGACAATTTGTTAGTGAGAAGTGGTGGGTAGTTCCTGTTGGTTTAGTGCTTTTCTGCTTTTGGTAATTGTTTTTTACAATGCATTGAAAATATGTAGTGCTTTTACCATTTAAAATACGGGTAGAAAAATTTTCTCGTTATAAATATTAAATTTGTAGTTGATTATTTTAACTGTGAAAAGCTGATTAGCTCTCTTGTTGCCAACTTGTTTGGTTGACATGTCAAATTTCATTCTTTCTTTAAGAAAGAAGGCAATAACTTTGCTTTAGAGAATGTACATACAAAATATGATTTGAAAAATGAACAGTTTTTTAGGAAATTAAATTTCGCTTGACTTCAGTTCTCCTATCCAAAACTGATGCAGTAATGATGAGTAACAATTTCAGAATATATTTGTGCCACCCTAAAGCGAGTGTAGTAGTTATATTTACAAAGTATGTTACTGATAATATGCATAATACAGATTTTAGTATGATTGTATGTGAGTAGCTGCAGAAATTGTTGGTGCCTGAATATGTAACAGCTACAGCTTTTTTGATTGCATACGCATTTCAAGCTTGTACCTGCATGTTTTAGGATTTTGTTAAGGGTCAGGGTAAGCAGTGGCCAGGAGTTTGGGTATTCCCTTACCTTGTGTTGGGTGCCTTGCTTGACACACCTGATCTGGTCCCAGAGGTGTGTGGAAGGCCAGACCGTTCCTGAACCAACACTTTTCATTTAAATGGCCACCAGAGGTTGCTGCAGAACGGCGGATGCAGCTGGGGATAGGTTTTGAATTAAAAGCTGAATCCTGAACTTAGCAACAAATCGCACAGTTCTGGTTCTGACGTGGTTATATTCCTTTCGAATGGAGTTGAAGCAGAGGTTAACCCTGACTTCTTGTATATGTGTGGTGGGTTAACCTTGGCTGGATGCCAGGTGCCCACCAAGCTGCTGTATCACTCCCCTCCTCGGCAGGATGGAGGCGGGGGGAGAAAATAAGATGGAAAAAACCTCAACATAAAGGCAATTTAATAAAGCAAAAGCAAAGGCCACATGTGGAAGCAAAGGAAAACAAAAGATTTATTCTCTGCTTCCCGGCAGCAGGAGATGTCCAGCCACTTCCCGGGAAGTAGGACATCAGTACATGTAGCGGTTGCTCAGGAAGACGAACGTCATAAATAACGAATGCCCCCCCTCCTTCTTTCTCTTAGCTTTTATTGCTGAGCAGGCATCATATGGTATGGAATATCCCTTTGGTCACTTTGGTCAGCTGTCCTGGCTATGTCCCCTCCCAAGATCTTGGCCACCCCCAGCCTGCTGGTGAGGGGGGAACGTTGGAGAGATGGCCTTGATGCTGTGTGAGCAAGTAGCCAAAACACTGGTGTGTTATCAACACCTTTCCAGCTACCAATACAAAGCACAGCACTATGAGGGCTGCTATGGGTAAAATTAACTCCATCTCAGCCAGAGCCAATATAATATGTTTATTTCATTATACAAAAATGTGCTTCTCTGTGTGCTGGTATGCATTGGTTCAGCATCCGTGTTTCTGTAACTGTGTGTGAAGGAGGTTCTTACAGTGAAAATTAATTTTTATAGCGTGTACTTGGACAGCACTTGAAACTGCTTTGTTAAAAATGTAAAAACATTTTTTAGGAATTTGTAAAAATCAAATGCTGTTCTTGATTATGTATTACTCATGTTTATATTTTTGATCAGCTCAATAAACGTGTACATTGTGGGAAAAATTAGCTTCATAATTATACACATGTAACAATTCTTAAACGGTTCAGTCTGTGTTAGAAACAAGCAAATTAAATCAAGAAGTAAACCTAAAACCTGTGGGGGGAAAAAAATCACCTGAAAGAATATACTTGAGGATAAATGGTAGGAATTGTGTGCCATATTTGTAATAATGTAACATCACACATAAATATATGCTATTTGAGTCTTTTCAGAAAGTATGCTGTGGCAAAAGTACACCAGACTTTCTGACACGTAATATCAAGCACTTTTATTGTTTGTTTAGAATGTAATAATACTTTAAGCACCTTTGTTTTTTAACTTAATGTCTGTTTCTGTAAGTCTGTAAACCTGTCCTTATGTGAGTTAAAATTACAGTTTTGTGTCTAGGACTTGCATGCTCAATTATGCTAAGTGAATTTCTGTGTTTGGAAAGCAATAGGAAAATGCAATTTGTGATTAAGCAGTTTCCATATACTCCCTCACAAGAATGAAAGCTGTAATTTTTCTAAATGTCAGTTACAGCTAATAAGTTACTCTGTGTGTGTGTGTGTGTAAAACAAGTAGGATAGTGTGTAAAGAATTCAGCAGCAGTCTGTCAAAGCTATGATTTTACACTAAGTGAAGATACAAGTGCATCATGCAGATCAAGTCAAAGAAATGCTCATAAAAACCTTTAATGCCACATCATCATTTATGATGCACGTGCAAAAAAAAAAAAAAAGGAAGAAAATATTTAAAGCATATTTTATCCAAGAAGTTAGATGGAAAGAGTTCAGATGGAGCTTTAGAAAACCAAGAAATGAGAAGTAATTTCTCTGTAACTAAAATTTAGCTACTGAGCCACTCTTAGATCGTCCTGGGGCTTAGAAGCTAGTGTCTGATTGCATATGGAAAGAGACTATTCCTTTCTTAGTGTTATACTCTGCTACCCATACTATAGGGCTGCAAACCGGTAAGTCTGCTAACATTCAGCATACAAAGAATGTCACACAAGAAGCAGTGTCGGTGTGAAACTTGTTAATGTGTAGTTTCTGAGGATGGAAAATTTATAGAAAGGTGTTAGGAACAGGACTACTTTTCTGATTCCTTCTTAAGATATAACAATGGGATTGGAAAATTGGAGTAATTCCTTGGATAGATAACTATTTATAGGAAGTTTGCTCTTAATTGCAGTTTGTGGGTTTTAAAGAGTTGGGCTGGAGCTCAGGGACATCTTGTTCAAGGCAAGAGAGCTTAGTCCTGTCTTCAGCACTCACATAGGAAACACTTGTATTCTGGTTCCCAGATACGGCAGTAATGGGAAGGGGAGGCATTTATTTGGTTAGAAGTTTTTTATTTAAAAGTCAAATGTCTTCCTCTTAAAAATTTGAGGGCAAGAATCACTAGTACATTATTTTCAGTAGAACAGAATACACAATTTTTGTGGTATCATATATCATATAAAAGACCACTATGTCTCTAGAAAGAGAGCTCTTCAAAATCTAAGCTACGCACTTAGCAAAAAAGAAGGCCCAGCATCTGTGTTCGTGGGCTGTTAGCTTACTGTTTCTGAAGACATGGCAAACGTTGCCTAACAAATCTCTCAGAATAGCATTAGGTGTCTCCAGAAAGAGTTCTGTGAATGTGTAACAGTTGTTTCAGGGTGTCACCAGACAGGTAATCCAGTAATTCATCTCCTCATTTCATGTTCAAACAAATGTATTTCTAAATAACCTAAAATAAAGGAGAGAAAAATCAAAGTTTTGGTGTGTAGATATATAAAATTTTATAAACATGTAAATGTATATTTCACATTTTACTACACATTTTCTTTTGCACGGAAATGTGTAGTAGTTGTGCATTAGATGGGACAAGGACAACAGAACATACATATAACTGCATTTCATACACTGATGATAGAATTTTTTTAGTTGTGTGCATTCTTGACTTACATGTTTCTTTTTTAGCTAGCTAATTAACAGTCACTTTTTGTCTATATTTAAGGTTATAGTAGCAAAGCTTCCATTAGCTGAAGGCACGAGTCCTTTTAGCAGTTATTCCGCTGAGAAATCAGTAAATGTTTTTCTTAGCTGCTGCTTTATCCTTCAAATTGAGTCTTAGTGATGGACTAAAGGGCTTCCAGCAGAGAAACCTTGCATGTTGAAGAACCTGCATAATACAGATGAATGTGTGCACTCCATGCTTCGGTATCTAGGAGAACCACTACAAACTCTGTTAT